ACATTTGTCCTGTTTCGAGCTCATACTCTTGATTAGATCGTAGTGTGAGGTGAGGCCTTCTTTTACTCCAGTTAGAATTCCACTTTCAACTTGCCGGTATTTAGGTATATGAAACAGGGTGCAACCTGGAAATTGGTAGTACTTCAATTTGTCATCCGAAATGTTTGCTTCCATAATTGTGAAAATATCTACATCATAGGTTTGTAGGATTTTCTGGACTTGGATCTTCTTGTCCGGAGACATTGCTCCAGCATTCCACTAGAGTATCTGAAGACGTTGTGATTCGCCCTGAGGAGGGCGATTTTTCTTATAGCCCTTTTTAAAGGTAATCATAATGAATAGAAGTAGAAAATGCCGAGTGATAGACTTTTTTGTCGTAAGAAAATACGTTTTCCTGGGTGCACCACGTGGAGGTAAGTCCATCGCGCACCCCAGAATCGAAAAGTTTAATTATTGAGATTTAAGAATCATTTCTGCTTGCGTTTATACATTTTAAACAGAAGCCGAATTTTCTCCTTATAAGCGGGTTAATTTGCATTAAATGAATCTCCAATTAAAGCTGAAAAAACTTAATTTCTTCAAGTAGTCTCAATTTATTACATTAACATGACTGGTCGAAATCATACAAGAGCACAAATACTCCTCCTTTAAAATTAATGAATCGAATCTAGCAGACATAATGGCCGACCTAATTATCGTTTAGAATTTTACTTTTTTTGCATTGTTTGAATGAGATTTTCATCGAGAAAACCTGTTTTTCATACGTGCTCGAATTATTAATCGCTAAGGAACTGCTGGGTATCTAATGGACTTATACGAGTTTAGCATAACTAATTGTATAAAAGTGCAAAAAGATAGTAATGATAAAATAGTTATTCTTCCAGACAGCTCATAATTTTACAATTTTTAATTTCATACTATAAAAAACTTGAAGACGTGACAACGTATTTAATGAACTAAATGAAATAATTTATCATTTATACAGAACATGCTATTTAAGTTCTCTCTTTTTGATTCGAATGCAATTTTAACAAAAATGTCTTGTATTGCAAAGCATTGCCTCACTTTTTATATATTAACTCAAATGGGAAGAAATTGGAAGAGCATTACTTACACTGTTAATATTTGAAATACAATCGAATTAACCAATAAATAGTTATTGGCAGAATTTTGGTCATTGTTACCAAAACTATGGTAATATATTATGATTTGTAATATAAAAAAACAGCTTTAAAAAATGGCAGTTAAATTAAAATGGCAGATCTTTTATATCTTATTCGGTATAATTAAGAAATTATTTCATTTAGTTCATTAAATACAAAATCACGTCTTCAATTTGTTTAGATTTCAAAATAAACTTTTAATATTACAATCTGTCCTGAAGCAAAACTATTTATCAGTTATTTATTTATATCAAATGGCATGCGTCTTGATGGTTATCACTAGCCCTTTAGTTGACTTCAGGCTTCACAGGGGAGAAGAAACATCAAATTGAAAAAGTCGACAGGGGGGAACAGAAGAGTGTTTCAAAAATGCAAGAGACAAACGCAAAGGTAGAACAAAGGTGAGGTGAGTACTGTGAATAGTCGAATATGGCATCGAGTGAGGTGATGGTAGTTTGAAGTGAGAAGTCAACTGCCAGTCAATAGACTTTTTGCTGTATGAGTATACGTTTGCCCACGGTGCACCAAGTGGAACTAAGTCTATCGCACACCCCAACTATTTATCATTATTGTCAGCCAAATTAATCAATTG